ACGCTGGAAGTTCCGTCTGCGGAGTTGTTACAAGAGGTACTGGCTCTCTGGGGCATGAGGGTTGTTTTTTAAAGCCATGCTGTTTCCTGCGTCTGCTCCAAGTGTATCTCATCTCCTTGCAGTTGAGCTGTCACCTGGGGGTGGGGAGGGACTGACTCCAATGCGGGCTCCTGTAGGAGAGGGAAGCCTGGCATGGCCTCGTGGGTGAGCTGGGGTTCCAGTCCATATCCTTTTGAATAGACTAGTTCCAAATGGGGCCCAAGACAGTCTCAGAGTCTGAATGTTTAGCTGCACGTAATCCATTAACCATAATGCAACGTGTAAATCGCTAAATGTACATAAATTGCTATCATAATGAAACCAAGGACTGTGGGAGGACAGAGGAAGGGTCGTTCTACCTGGACTGAGAAGAGGGAGGCCTTACAGAGGAGATGACTCAGATGGGCCTTGAAAAAGGATTTTTGTCAGAGAAGCTGAAAGAAGAAGGCCACTTGAAGGCATTGGAACAGCGTAAACACTTAACATCTGAATATTCAGAACCTACTTCCAGGCTCCTGTGGTTGTTCAGGATCTGGCTTACGGTCCAGCTCTCCTGGGAAAGACCACCAGAACAGGGCCCCCAAGCCCGCCTCCCAGGAGCCAAGCGCAACAGGCAGCACAGGGAGGGGGACGAGCGTGCGGGCCTCTGGGGGGCAACATGCAGGAGAGAGTGAGTGGGGGGCAACACGGCTGTGGACAGTCAGGAGGAGAGGCCGAGTGGGTTTTAGCTGCTGCCTGAGAAGCTGTTTTCTAAGAGTGTCTGCCATTTTCTCAGAGGCTAAAATCGATTCTGGTGGGGTGCTCACTGTTTCTTTCACTTAATCTGATCCAGCAGAGACCGGGGCACTTGCGCTCCGGCTTTTGTGATGACAACTACATGCCAAATGCCAAATCCATGCATCCGCTTTGGGGTCACTGTCCACCACCACGCCCTTCACACTCCTTCCTCAGCCGGCAGTTCTCATTCAAAAAAATCGATGACTCATGCAGCTCAACAGCCAAAGACCTAATAAGACAATTGGTCATGAGCTGCAAAGTCTTTACCAAACCTCGCCCCTCATGGGAGCACAGGGGTTTCAGAATCAGCTGCAGAGCTGCCCACGACTCCAAGGCACACAATTTAGATTAAAAAAATTGCTCAACTTCCACAGAAACACAGTGTGGCTGGCATGATTCTGGAACAGATCTACCACTTAGAATGTAACAAAGACAATGCGAGATTCTTTTGCGATTAATAATTAAAAAAGAGTCGGTGGGGGTTGGCGAGGGATAAACAGGCAGAGCACAGAGGCTTTTCAGAGCAGGGAACATACACTGTATGGTACTATAGTGACAGATACGTGTGTTTACACATTTGTCCAAACCCGTGGAATGTACATGCCAAGAGGGAACTAAGCTGTGGGCCCTGGCTGACCTTGTGTCCATGTGGGCTCATCACTGGTCACATATGGGCCACTTCGTGGGGGATGCTGAGACAGGCTACGCGTGTGTAGAGACGGGGGTACTTGGGAAATCTCTGTACCTTCCCTTTAACTTTGCTGTGAACTTAAAACTGCTCTAAAAAACAATCAATAAAAAAAGAGTCTATCTTTATTAACTAGGGCATAGGCAATGAATAAAAACGATCATCTTGACTTCCACATTTTCACATTGTCTTATTTTAAATATTTGATTACATAACCTTCAACAGTAAGGACGTGTCACCTATCATTCTGGTGCAAATGGAGGAGATGAAAAATGGATCTTTCTCTTCTTCTCACATTCTATTTTATCTTTATTTTCCTTGTATCAAATATTAAACATGTGTCTACCTCTTACCTTGCATTTCAATAGGACATTACATTCACCAGTCACTTCCCAGCTCAAATACTCAACAAAATGTGGACCTATAAAATTTTAATAATATTAGCAATCAGAAATATTAATTATGAATGCAAAAATCCAAGCTCATTCTTAAATTCCAAGGTAATTTATGTTTAAAGTGAACTTTTTAAAATTTCAGTTTTAGCTTTTTAATATTTTAAATTGATACATATTTAATAATAAATATGTCCAATTATTTTTATTTACCAAAGCATTACTGACATAAGCAATAATATTCATTTTAATTTGTTATGGACTTCACCTTGGAATATTTTGTTCAAGAAGTGGAAGCTCTTCTCTATTCACTGCCCATTTTTACCTTGTTTCCTGATCCATTCTTGCCGCTGGAATTCAGCTTCTTTCTGGAGCTTCTTATAAACTGAAAATTGAAAATCAAGGAAGTATGAAGTCGAGTTGAGTGGTATAAATGTACATGCCCATCGCTGTGCTGAGCGATTTACATTCATTATTATTCATTCATTCACACATCGTGACCACCCTATTTGTTTTCAGCATTCATAGATGAAGAAAAAGGCTTAGAAAGGTTAAGTAGCTTGTCCAAGGTCATGAAGCCAGGACATAATGAAGCAGCATTGGCTATTGCAAGTGTAGAGATCTGGCCAGCCTTTCTATTGCTTTATTAAATATACATTTTAAATCTTGGTGGCTCCCACACTGGCTTATGACACTTGACATACAACCTAATTCTAATGTATGATTGATTGGTCTGGCAGGCTCTACTTTTGCATATTTTCTTTTTAATATAAGTACTTTAAAATAAGTACACGTTACAAAATAGTATCATAGTTTGTTTCTGAGACATACATACAGTCTCGGTTATACTGCAATATCCTTCACTGGAAAATTTTAGTTATAAATACTTTTTGTTTATGACATAATTTAAGTGCAGTCTTGCCTGTGGGCCAATGATAACTCGTGTCTTTTAAAATTAACGTTCTACGGAATGAAATGCTATGGAAAGTATTAACTGTAAACTGTGTTTTGAACACTGGAATCCAATCAAGATTCCTGCTTGGAATCCAATCCAATTCCTGCCACCGCCCATGTGACCGTTTTTGTACAATGGAGTGTTTGCATTGAAGGGAGTAGCAAAGTCTTTGAGCTAATGTTCCACAGAACGCTTACCATCACCAATGAGAACTAGAGTAGAATGACCCGTTGCTCTTCCATCTTGAATCTGGAAAGTGTACGTCCCCTCATCCTCATCCTGCAGCTTTTCCATAAACATTTCAATGATACCAGTGTTTCGGTCAACATGCATCTTATATTTCTTCAACGTGAAGAGGAAAAGAGAGACGGATATGATGACAGTAAGCCTCACAAAACACACACACAAACGCCAAAGTATCATACTTCAATAAAATTCCTTGTTAACATTTTTTTAACTGAGCAAGGTTTCAAAATCTTGTGCCCAGAAAAAGGAAAATGTTAAACGGAATATATGACCTTGACCAGAATTGATTTCTCAGAAGACTGATATTTAGTTTTTAAATATAAATAAAGTTTTGTTACCCCAAATCACAAAATGTTATTTTTAGGTTCCCATTTTACTTTCTGGATTCCATCGTTTTCAATTAACAAAGCATAACTGTAAGCAGTGTGAGGGAAGCATTGTCTGGTTCACGGCTGTGTCCGTGGCATCTAGCACATGCATGGCACACAGCAGCCAATTAATATACACCTGCTGAATTAACAGGTGCATAAAAATGCTTCTAATGCAGTCGAAGTCCTTTTGTTCTTAATGAACCAAAATTGCCCTGTTAGGCTGTGCTTATTTTATCATATTCCTTAGGCAACTTTTTTCAACGTAAAAGTAAATCTCAGTCCTTGGCCATACAAGCACAAGCTCCATGACGGATCTGAATTAATGAAGGTTTCCTATGAAATGTCACAGAATGAAGGCTCAGGTCTGGGATCAACTCTGTGGTGCCATTCACGCCCCAGAGCTTTCCCTGCAGGGAGCCAGTCTCCAACTGAGGCCACGTTTTTGCTTAGCTTGTCCCTACCCTAGCTTGCTTCCCTCACCTCCTACTCCTGGGAGTTCTCCCCCATAAACCACCTGAAGGAGAAACCCTATTTCAGATTCTCATTCTAGGGAACCTGAACTAAGACAATAATTTCCACCCAATGAAATAGTATGATAAGAACCACTGTAATGACAATGAACAGCTATTCAAGTTCTGTGTGTATGTGTGTGTGTTTATGTGCATGCACAGTAACATGCAAGCCTGTGTGAACATGTGTGCCTCCACACACACGTGTGCACAAGTGTTCCCTTGGTGGCTGTGGTGGCAGAGTGATGCCAACAAAGCTCTTCCTTCCTCTCCACTGGCCTCATGGTGATCACACAGAAGGTTCTGAGAACAGGGAGGAGATGCGCCACAGAGGACCCACGTGTGACTTGTCCCGGCTCGCACACCGTTACCGTACAAGTTGAAAGTGAATATACTGCTCACTCTTCTGCCATTTATGTTACTCATCCTCCCTCTCACTAACGAATCCTCAGATGGTTTAAAAACACGTTTCGATGCAAGGAGAACAGTTGTTAATGATGGCCACAAACCACACCTCTCCCCCATCTTTTCCATCTCCCACTTACACCTGTGAGAACACAGGTAGGAGCCAGCGCGCCTGAACCTAAGTTGTTCAGTCCCACCGGGCACCAGCCTGATCCGGGCTTTGCAGATGTCTGGGGAGGACATATCAAGTGCTGACACCGTAACTCTATCTATAAAAACTCTGTGTACATTAAAGGCAAAGAAAATACTAAGTGCAGATATACACAATCACCTGTGTCAATAAGACACAAATTGACATACACAGAAGTGTAGAAGACCAGCAAGTATATAAGAGTATGTGTACCAAAAAGCTGTAAGAATTTGCTATTTCTCCTTTCTGAGTCTTTAAAGCTTTTTACAACAAAGATGGATTTTTAACCAGAAAAGCAATGAAAGATATTTTTACTGCATTTTTTTCTGAGCCATTAGAACAATTCTTCCCTTTGAAGAACCAAGACCCCACTGCAGTCTGTGATGTGAGTATCTGAGTTCAGGCAAGGGTGTGGGTCCCTTTGCCTTCCCAAGAGAGCAGCTTTCTTCATGAGGGACCAACTTCCTGATTTGCCTGAGACAGTTTTGGTTTATAACTGTTGTCCTGGAAAAATTATTCCTAGCATCCTCGTTCATTCTCAGAAGTATCTCAATTTTGGATAATATGATATATTTTCTTCCACACTTTTCACGTGTGAAGTGATTTACACTCCCCCACCCCACATCCAGTGGTTTTCATAACAGCTTATCTGCATTCTTCCCCGGCACATTCTGCAATGATATGTTTAGAAATCTAAAAAGTGTAAAACCTACCGGCCCTTCAAAAATTTCCTTGTCGTTAAATATGAAGTTGACTTTGGCATTGCCAGACAGCTTCTCAGCCTGCATCCAAAACCGGACTTGGCCTTTCTCCAAAATTTCAACTGCCAACTCCGATTTAACTGGGACAGCTATGAAAAATAAAAATAAGAGTAGTGATTATCCTGGTAACCAATTGTACTGACACAGATTTTTCCAACAAGTGGAAAAACAACAGAGACGGTGGTGTAGCATCTTGCTTCTTGCAAAGCCTGGAGGCAGTGAGAGTGTTGTAGGGGAGAGGCTGAATATTGAGGGACAGAAAAACTGGGTTCTAATCCTGACTGTCACAAATGTCTTAACTGTAAAAATGAGGAAGATGGACTTGCCTCCACACAGAAACGGTCCATGTCCGGGTTAGTGTCAGACTACCTGGGTTTAACCCCAGGTGCCAGCTGTGTACCACTGGTCTAGTTACTTAACCTCTCTGTGCCTCATGTTCTCCATCTCTAAAATTAAATCCCCGTAGTAATGACCCTTTTTAGGTCATTGCGGAGTTTAAATGTCATATTCCATTTAAGCATCCTATAAACAGCATATAATAAGTGCTCTATAAATGTGGCTATTAATATTTTGGTGACTCTTTCTCCAGGGGTTTAAACAGCACCCTACAACCATCAATGGTAAAATACATTTACACCTAAGAGGACACACCAAATAGGCGTAATTATATGTGCTTATGTATACCTCACACACACAGTGTATACACACACAAGTGGGATAATGACCAACGTCTGCTAATGACGAGATGTATTATGCAGGATGTTGTCAGTACTGAAATAGACTTCCCACCATCCCCCCCAAACACCTTGAATTCTTGATATAAATACATACATGTGTGTGTATATATATATATTCAAATACTGCTTCACTGCACTGCAATTTAGTATTACTACTGGCAAGACAGACTAGATTATTTTCTATTTTTAGCTTTACATATTTTTATTTTTTCCTTCTACTCAGCCCTAAATTTCCTTGGGCTTTTTTCCTCTGGCAGTTTACTTGCTCCAGCAACATATCTGTTATTTGTAAGTTTAGGGCATATGTTTAGTGGTTTTCAAAATATTTTTGAAAACAGCTTAAAATAGGAGAATTTGCTGTGCCAAGGGATAAAGGAACACCACACTCTTTATGACACTCTATAAGAAATGAGACCATTTAAAAACTTACAAAATCTCAAGAAGATGACTTAATTATGTGTCAGCGTTTACTAAGAGGAAGTGGTATACATGGAGAAATGGAATATGCAGCTTGGACCCTATCATCAGGTCTCTGAAAATATTCACATGGTGACCCAGCTGATGTCACAGTGGTGGGGAGAGAAGACACTGGAGCTGTTATAGCTACAACGCTGCTTCAAAGGGCTAACGGACGCTCCCTTGGGGTGGGAGTGTTACACTCACATGTCGGGGTTTTTAACACATTGTCGGGTTCTCTCTGTGCCGACGCAAATGCCACACAGGGTCTCTAACAAAAGGGCCCCTGAGCTTGCTGCTCCCTCTCTCCTAGAACCAACAATCAGAGTGCTTAGGCTCACACAGAATAAAATATCTCAGCGTAAACCGCAGTGACAGCAGGCAACGCTGTCTTCAAGTCCATCCCATCACTGAGCCTCAGGGAAGCCAGCCGGGTGCCACCAATTCAGGAGGAACACCCCAACTTCCCTCTGCTCCATCCTCTGAGCTAAATGTGAATGCTGTCTGCACCAGCCATCCCCGAGACACTTTGTCAGTGTTTACTGTCTGACGAGCTAGATTAGTAGGTGCTGCTGTTTCTCTCCGCTTGTACCGACGTTCGCCCATAGACAATGCGGACATTCACTGGCCGTGTTCCACACAGTGACCGTCTCCTCCACTCCCTGCTTCACAGCCCTGGGGGCACGAAGGGAGGACAGCTGTGCGGCTGGCAGACAGCTCTTCTGCAAGTGGATTTTTCTAGGTCACTGTTCTGTTTCAATTAATATTTATATTTTTCCTGAACAGTTGAAGGGTCAACCAGTGCCCTGCTGACGATGGCGCCTCTCTAGGGGGACTGCTGTAAGCGATTACAACAGCCATTCCCGGGAAAGGAACCAAGGCAACGGGGAACCTGGGATGAGCTGCTCAGGTTCACAGAGCACAGAACAAAGAGAGTCCAGGCCAAACCTCTAACTTCCATACAGTTAAAAGAATAACTTTAAGGCACCGTTCATGTATTACCTTTCCAGTTTTATGGTGAAGAAGCTTACAGTGAGAAATGGTTCCCCCAAGAATTCAGAGCCTGCACTCTGCACGTACTCCCCACAGGCACCCCTGTGTGCTTTGTGGAGAACAGCTGGTCTTGAGAACATCATAGCTGAGGCCAGTAACCACCAACACCCGGCCTCATCATCCAAAAAGCATTCCTTGGGAACGTAAGAAGTCAGGCAACTGGTTTCAGAGCAGTGTTTGTTTTTAATCACAGCCCTGTTGAGAATTTTGGGAAAGCTATAGTTTCTCTCCCTAAAAAAATGCACATGTACAAACACACGAAGTTCTGCCTATTGTTTGAGGTCAAGTATAGTTTCCTGGGTTCCTAAAACTCCTGCATTAGTGAAGAAGTTATAGTGTAGGGATTAAGGAGTGAAAAAATCCTTACTTTAAAAGAATGAGTGTATGCTATCACCTTCTGCTTGTTTCCAGCCCTAGGGTGTAACTTTCTGGACACCTCACTGCTTTGGCCAATGCGTACCAATCGCAAGAGATCCTATCAGGCCAGTGGAACTTTCCGAGCTTCACTTCAGACTTCTTTCTCTTCTCTGAGGTGTCAGCTGTGGAATTTAATCTTTTATGTAGAAGGTGCTTTATTGAAGGGTTTTCAGGTAGTTCAGAGGGATTCTTTTTCTGATCCAGGGATCTTTTCCTAATTTTCCAGGAGTTTAAAATGGTAGGTGGTGTCTTTAGATTGTTTTTATTTAGAGGTTTAATTCTTCTACTAAGTGCTAACATTAAATTGCTTAGGAAGAGATTAGTTTGTCTTAAAGGCATATGAATGAATGCATCCAGAAAAAAATATCTAATGATTCCAAGATATGTAGGCAAAAAGCAAAGAACTTAATTACTCAACTGTTGCTCTAATGTAACATGACTCCTCTCTACCTAACAGAGCTGGGATGTATTTGAACTAACAGAGTGTGTTAGTGTTCTTTGTATCTTTGCAGAACAATGGCAGAGACAACAGCTGCCCTTCTGGAAAGTGCTTCTGCAGCTACTAGTGTGTGCTCCGCCCTGCGTTCTCAAGAGCCTCTCCTCCTCCATCAAAGCTGTCTAGTAGGATGGCTACACTCTGTCACTGTATTGTGGACACTTACTTGGGAACTTGTGTTCTTGGCTGAGAGCAAGCAAACGTTTCAGTTCTGTAGGGGGAAAAGGAGAACAGTTAATCCTTGAACTAAAACAACAGTCACTTGATTCCAGGCACTCACTGAGAAATCAAAGCAGGTGCAGACTCGTGAACAGGCTGGTTTGTAGCTTACCTTCCTCATCTATCAGGTAGCTTGACGCTATTCCATCTGTGTCTGTTACATCACAGGAGTAAAGGCCCAAGTCTTCCTCCCCAAGATCCTTGAAGGTCATTTTCGTCCTTCGGAACAGAATACTTAATAAGTAACAAGGCTGCGAGGGGTCTGCGAGCCCGTGTTCTGCCTGGTCTCTGGCACTTGCACTCGCCGCCCCCTGTACGTGGGGCCCTTGTTCCTCTCTGCCTTGTTGACTGGCAGCCTCCTCACTCCCACTGCTTCTAGAAAGACCTTCCTGACCTCCTGCTGCAGGATGACGGTGATGGGAAGGGGAGCTGGTACAGATCTCCATTCCCAAGCTCTGATGCATATCAATGCACATGCTGAATAAAGATACTTTCAGCTGATCAGCCCTTGTTAGGGAGCCTGAAAAAATTCTTCCCCAGGTGGCAGAAACTGCTGTTCCGGTGCCTCTCTCATGTCATGTCCTGCACTTCCCTTTCCAAGGTCATCACACTGCATCAGCATTGCCCATTGCATCACCCAAATGCCTCCACAGTATGCCTGTAGGGAGGAGAACTGTTTTGTTTACTGTGGTGTCCTCCAGCATCCAGGACCTTGTGTGGCACATAATTCGTGATTAATACATATTTGTGGAATGAATGAATGGGTCAGTGGTCTAGTTCACTGTGTTTTCTAACTTTGGTGAGGCATCGCTAGTCAAAGATAACCCAAACATTTATATGTTAGTCAAGTCAGTCAAAGAAGAAAAATTTACAGTTTGACTGTCTTTTCTTTGACCAAAATCATGTTTTACTTCAAGGACTTTACAGCAATAGCAACAGCAAAATGTCTTTAAATTATATTCAGTATTTTCTTGCTGTTCTCCAACAAAATTACTATTTCTTTCTTCTTTTTTTTCATATATATTGGGCTTCTTTGTAATTAGGAATATTTTGCTTTGCCAAGTATGACCCAATCTGGTTGGCATCATAGAGATAAAGAGCTTGATAACTAAGGTGAAGTAAAAAGAAAACTCAGGATCTTGAGGATGAAAGGAAGTAATAGGTCATACAATTAATCATCTTCACTCTTTCCCATTTTACAGAAAAAGAAATCTGAGGTCCATGGAAGTTAAAAGCTGCCCCAGGTCACACAGCCAGCTCCCGAGACTGGAACTCATCTATCCTGTGCTTTCCATAGAGTTCTTTCCAGTGCATTGATGTGTCATTCATAAGTGGGGGTGAAAAAAGCAGGACAGCCAGCAGCAGGTTCTTCCTCACCCCTCCCCATAACTATCTTCACCGTTACTTTAAGATTCCAAAATTCTGTAGAATTCAGAATACTGAGAACTATCTTTTAGGCCATTCAACACTTTTACTACATCATAAATGAGATAATATATGAAAAAACATTTAAAGTGGGATACTGTGAAAAGTACTTTATAAGGATTGCTATTTTTCTAAGCTTTAAATTGGTTATGACTTTCCACATTACCAGACATAAAATGTTTGTGATTTCATCCTATCACTTGAAACGGAAAGCACAGAGCTGCCTCCATCCTCCCGTCATGAAAAGGAAGCCCGCCATTTCGGCTGGAACAGTGCGTACTTGTTGCCTTTGCTTTCAACCTCTAATCGTGGGGAGTCCTCAGTGGGTACGTAGTCTTTGGACCAGGCGAACTCAGAATTTGGAGCCATCTGATCACATTCGAAGTTCAAGGAAATGATTCCATCATCATCCACATTTACAACAACCTCTTTGGTTCCTAGAAGATCAAAAACAGGGCACTGACCTTTTCTGGTAGAAATCAATCAAGCAAGAATTCCTTACCTTGGGATCCTTTACTGCAGCCTTAAGGTGGGGTCCTTGAGCCTGTGCGAGGGAAAAGGCCCCACTGCGACTGACAGTCCTGCTACATCTCGACTCGTAACATGGCATTCAGTGAATGTACCATGTTACGCAGGCAGAGCCAACACCACGAACAGTACTGTCTGTTCAGGGCTGAAGAAAACCTGGTGGACCTGGACAATGGGACAGTTACAGGAGTGGGCGGACCTTAATATGAAGCACAGGGCAGCCTCAGGGAAAGACAAAAGTTGTTCGATCCTCTTCAGGGCCTAATTTATGACGTTTGCCTCAAGAACACCCACAGCTAAACAGTCACCAAGAGGGGACAGATACGAGATAAAGAAACCAAGGGGCAACTGAAGGGGGAGAAAGTAGAGGGAGTGAGAATTGCCTATATTCAAGCGTTCAGTCTGTAAATCATTTAAGAATGAAAGTTCTGCTGATCGGGTAGCCATAAATTAATCTAAAGATGCCATTTAGGTTAGAACAATAACAACCTAGAAATGACTGTTACTGAACTGTGCAGAACTTCAAATGGAAATGAGTTTCAAGAGATCCAGATGTTTCAAGAAGATTGGCTGTTGGATTTTAAAAGAAAACAATCAAGTTAATGTTTTGAGTTCTCTCACTTTGGAGGGCTCTAATAAATTAACACCTGCATTCAATATAGCAATTCAAAGAGTGTGTGATGCTTGTAAAATGTTCACTTCTACAACTAAATCCAGTTTGAGAGGTAAAACGCTCTTCTCAAATTGACATTCATTCGAATACCAATCTACACTTGGTCTGCTTCCACACGTTAGGAAAAATACATTTAATTTCAGAGAGGTACAGCTTTATTTTTAAAACAAAACATAAAAAATCTTTCAACGGATACTTCCCAAGTGATGAAAGGTTTTCTGTGCTAGATTGCATCATAAGAAGCCAGTGTCCTGGCTGGCTGTCCAGTAAAACCTGTCAGGGGAAAAAGAATTGCAAAACTCCTCCCAGGCAAAGGGCAAAACAAACCAAGTGCCCGAAAAGAGTGATCAGGGACTTGAGGGTGTAGGCTCCTAAGCCTGGTAGTTGATCTAACCTGTGTCCTTACTGATAGCAGTATGTGCTTCCATTATAAACCTCCAAAAAGTGATTTTTAATTCACATGGAAAGCTTGGAGAAGACTAGTTCTGGGAGATTTTTTAAATATTAAAAAAAGAAAGGGTTATTTTCATATTTGACTATATAGATAAACAGAAATAACCTTGAGTGAAATGTCCACCGTGTATTTACTAAGGGCTGTGTCTATTTCATTGCAAGTTGCAGACCAAAATGTTTTATTTCTATTCCTGATAACACATGACTAATCCTTACAATCTACTGCTACATAACAAATAACGAAAATAGTGCTCTTATCAAAAGTCAAGAAAAAACTAACGCCTAAGAATGCTGAGATTTAGATGGTATGACAATACACAGTTAGCATGACTGAACTGGAGACAGAATATAAACCGAAAATTTCCTGTATATCTGTGTTGTTATGAAGAGGAAAGGAGAAGAAATGGAAGTCGACTAAACCTCTCTTGCTATTTGCATAATATCTATTTTGAAGGCATGACAGATTGTTCATATTAATCATTCATTGTTTTGTTTGTAATCCCTTTTAAAGGGAAGTGAATCATCCATGCGCCTGCTATTTGTTATACTGGAGGAATGACAAGTTTACAACAGAAAAAAATGGTGCTTAGGTTAAGAATCTTGATTTTTACTCAAATGAAAGATTTGACTTTTCTGCAGAGGAGCGATAAAATGGAAAGAACATGAGCAATATATTAGCCTGGCTTTTCTCTCAATTCCATGGATAACCTTTGCACAGTAACACTTCACCCATATGGGATCCTGCCCTAAACCAAGAAGTAACGAAAGCAAACCTCTAAGGGCCAGAACTGATGTCACAAAGTCCATGTGCTAGTATCCCAGACATGCCCTGGAGGGTTCCACAGACCATCACTTGGAAGCTATACTTCACTTGAGATGATTCTAACAAGGCTAGCTGGTTAGTTTGTCCCGAAAAAGAGAGGAAAGAAGAAGCTGTGATCAGCAGGCACACGGAGGATAAGGTAAATAAATGGCAGCAAGAGAGGAGGCAGAAAATGGAAAACCAGGTACAGACACTATTCAGTAGATAAACAAATGGCCCCTCACCCTGTAAGACATCACTGTATTGCAACACTGGGCAATAAATAAGGTTGATACTTATGGCTCTGAGTCACACAGAAAAAGGTAGATAAGATTAAGTACATTGCATCCAAGAAGGGTGAAGGGTATGTACTGAAATATGTAATCTATTTTATAAGAATTTTCATCAACAGGTCTTAAAATGAAATTTTAAAGGATTGATGCCTTCGCAGTAAACGCTCAGGTAAATGGAACAACTGGGTATTGGAAACAATCTTTTCACGTTTCTGAAGGGCCAGACTTGGTCCCAAACCCAGACAACTTGGAGACTAGAAAAACCCTGCTCAGTTGCTGTCTCAATTGCCTCAGTTATTGAGAAGAGTATAGAGCTGTCTCATTTAATTATTCTGGAAAATTAATTTTTGTACTTGGAGATCTTTTGTGAAAATATGAAGTGAAACAATAGATATTATTTTTAAGTCCCAGGCAGTATGTGTGTTTTCACTTTAACCTACAAGTTTTTCATCATTACGTTGTAGCTGGGGTCTCATGTAAGAAATGTAATAATTTATACATTTAGAAAACAACATGGCATTTTTTTTGAAAGTCTTAGATCAAATTTTGTGACTTGAAATTGCGTTATTGCCTACAGAGGGCAAAATAAGAAGCAGGGACTAGGTGGAATGTCAGCTAGTATCAGAGAGTTTTGCTCATCTGTGAAGCTTCTCTTGATTAATCGTATCAAATCAGGACATGGTAGGCAATATCTATAGTGAGTAAAAGAGAGGCATGAACATTTCCTTAGTTTATGC